GAGGGCACAGATTGAGATATATATACATATAAACACACACACACTCAGTCTCTTAGCCTGTGGTGCCCTGAACCACCTTAGGACTCTGCCAACTAGATTGCCGACACAAGATACGGGACCAGTGGGGTCTCTCTGATCTTGGACTATGAGCCTCCAGAACTGTGACTCATAATACGCCTCTTTTCTTTATAAAGCAGACTGCTTTGGGTATCCAGGATAGTAATGAAAGCTAATACACATGGAATTCCAAACACATTCATCATAGTGCAAGGATAAGGAGTCATATAAGAGCATCTAATTAATTAGACCCTGGTAAAGGAGGGAGAATGCTGATAAATAGCTGTTTTTAAGGACAAATTTGGTAAAAGAAGTTTAGACCACAGTTAGCACTAACGCCTTTCAATGCCTGCTCGGTTTCTATATCTACTTATTTACAGCAGAGAATACTGCTACCATTCCCAGTGGTGAAGGAAGCAGATGGCACACTTTGAGAGGCATCTGTCTTCAACAGTGCAGATAAGAGGGATCACAGGCAACAACAGTGCTTTTCTAGCAAATTAGAACCATGACAATCTGCTAAAGACATAATTTATATTATCACCAAGTAACATAATTATTTCTTTAATTAACACTCCTATATTATCTCCATTATAACCATGCTTTTAGGAAGTCCACAGCCTAAGGGTAAAACCCTTTAGAACCCAAATCTGATTTTATTTCCCAGACCCAGAAAAGAGTCTTCTTAGAGTAAGCAATAAGGGAGAGAAAAATGTAACGAGAAATAGATAAGCAGAGGAAGGACAGAGAAAGCAGAATCAAACAAGAGCAACCAGAACGAGGGTGAAATTCAAGTTTGGCACAGTGGATGCTCAACACTGAGAGGGACACGGAACAAATACGGAAGGCGGTCACCGCGTGATTTCACTATCTGCCATGGAAATACATTAATGCGTCCCATCATTCAGTACGGATGACTGGGACTTCTCAAACAGAGACAGCGGACCTCCGTGTGAGCGTTTCAAATGAGGCTGTCCAATCAGCACAGCATAATGGACTCCTTGCCAGGTGCTCAACATTATTACCTCCACCCTGAACCCTTAACAACCTTGAAACCAACTTAACACGAAGCAGGGAGCAAAAGGGCCCTGGGACAGTTCCAGGTTGAAAATTTTGTGATGGTAGAGTCCTTTGGAGGAATCCTAAGTAAAGTAGAGGAAGCTCAGGGCTGTGTCAACATCACTAGCCCTATCAGCTCACCCAGCTAACCTGTTTTTTGACAAACTACATCTGCTGTTGCTGGGTAGGATGGTGATGAAGGGGATTTTCTATGTAGCACAGTCAGACTTTGAAGTGTTTAGAGAATTATTCAGAAATCACTGCTTCCAAACTTAACTGGCAAAGATCACATTTAATAAAAATGGCATGTAATTAAAAATTAATTCACATTTGAGTAAGATCTGTTGATTAGTTAATATTATTGTATCAATGCAAAACTTCCGAACTTTGATAATTGTACTTTTGCTATATATTAGTATTTGGCGAGGTAAGTGAGAAGTAGGTGAGAATTCTTTGACTGTCTTCCGCAAATTTCTTATAAGCTGAAATTTCTTCAAAATAAAAAGATTTAAAAGGTAGGGGCTGGGCCAGCGCCGTGGCTCACTAGGCTAATCCTCTGCCTTGCGGCGCCGGCACACCGGGTTCTAGTCCCGGTCGGGGCGCCAGATTCTTTCCCGGTTGCCCCTCTTCCAGGCCAGCTCTCTGCTGTGGCCAGGGAAGGCAGTGGAGGATGGCCCAAGTACTTGGGCCCTGCACCCCATGGGAGACCAGGATAAGTACCTGGCTCCTGCCATCGGATCAGTGCGGTGCGCCGGCCGCAGCACGCTGGCCGCGGCGGCCATTGGAGGGTAAACCAACGGCAAAGGAAGACCTTTCTCTCTGTCTCTCTCTCTCACTGTCCACTCTGCCTGTCAAAAAATAAATAAATAAATAAATAAATAAATAAATAAAAATAAAAGGTAGGGGCTGGCACTGTGGCGCAGTGGGTAATGCTGCCTGTTACGCCAGAATCCCATATGGGCACCAGTTCGTGTCCCAGCTGTACCACTTCCGATCCAGCTCCCTACTGACGGCCTTGGAAAAGCAGTGGAAGATGGCCCAAGTGTTTGGGCCCCTGCCACCCACATGGGAGACCCAGATGAAGCTCCTGACCCCTGGCTTCAGCCTGACCCAGCCTTGGCCATCGGGACCATCTGGGTGAACCAGTGGATGGAAAAATCTCTCCTTGTCTGTCTGTAATCTCTCCCTGTCTCTCCCTCTCTCTCTGTAACTCTGGATTTCAAATAAATAAATAAATCTTTAAAAAAAATTTTTAAAAGGTGATTTATAAAACTTGAAAAATTTTCCACAATTTGTGCCCTGGGGGCCCACACCCAGGAAAAAAGTACCCCTTCAGTTTCTCTCCTTTGCTGAGAAGATGATGAAATTCACTGTAGGGCAGATGAAATAATGAAGATCGAAATCCTTGCGGAAGTGGACTCCTAAACAAATGCTATTAGTGATACTTATAGTCCCATACCGAGATGTTTCCTTACCAATAAAGGAAGGAACAAGTCTTTATACTAAATACCCCATCAATATTCTCCAAGTAGCTTTCCGTATGCTTAAATACTGCTGCCCTGGCAGTGGGAAACAGGGAGTCACTGAAGGGTTGGGGCAAGGCAGGCATATGGCCAAAAAAACACTTCAAGAATTATACAGGAAGGATGAAGTGTTGGGAGGAGACCAGACTCAGCAAAACCCGCTAGGAATGATTCTGATAATTGAGGGATCGGTGAGCCTTGCTGAGTGTGCCTGGAAAAGAGAAACCCAGATGAGAGGCATCTTGTAGGATTGATGTTTCTGGGCAGGAGCAGCCTGGAAGTGGAGGCGGAAGGAGCGAAGTGAGTCAGTGGTTACTAGAAGGCCAAGATGACTGGGGCAATGCCGGTGTCACTGAGAGATGGATGGAAAATGGCAGGAAGGAGAGAACATCCACAGAGCTTGGGGTGCAAATTCAAGCCACTTTGGAGGCCAGACAGGTGCAGGTGGGATGGGGGGAGACACAGATGCCAAGGGCATGCAACTGGACAGTTCATCTCTCTAAAGACAATGCCTCCAAGAGGGCTGCTACAACTTGGCATCAGCAGTGCTTACCATATGGGAATGTGCTTGTGGTGTAACCAGATCTTCCATTTCTGCAAGAGGAGGCAGAAATCCAGATCTCTTTTATGAGACCTCTTAACTCTTTAATGTTGGCTACTAATTTTACAAAAAATTTAAAGCATGGCATTTGCGAACCAAGCACATCTGTGGGCCAGATTCAGTACGCTGGCTATGAAGTTGTGACCCTACATAAAGAAAGGTCAAGGATCAAAGTTCATCAAGTGTCATGGTGATGTACAGGGCGATAAGTGCCTGTGAAGGGATTCAGTAACTAAAATCCTGTACACAAAGCGGTTGCCAGCAATCTGAGCTGTAGGAACGGCCCTAGTCTCTAAGGCTATATATGGATTTGAATTTATACAGGAAGTTTAATCTAATCCTCAAATGGTTAAATCACAAGAATCTGAGTGCTTTCTGTGTGCTGAGTACACAGAAATCAAGGAATTTCAGATCTTCCTGGAGAAGAAAAAACATGCCTTCCTGAAACAACTTGAGGCAAATCAGGACACAACCTGGAGGAGTGCTTTCTTCATCCTATGCAGGGGGACCAGAGGCCTCTCCACAGCGGCATGCTCGCCTCCAGGCTCACTCACTTCCACTCAGCAAACTTTGAAGGAATGCTCACGTGTGTGCGTGTGTGTGCGCGCGCGCGCGCGACTGTGTGTATGAACTTGAATCTGTAAGCAGAAACTTGATTTCCTGGGCAGTGGTTACCCAGCTGCGGCTCTCGTTGCCAAGGGTGATCCGCGCCCCCGCGTGGCCTGGGGGTTCACGGGGCTCGAGGTCCCGAGCCAGCGCGGCCGGGGTGGGGGTGGGGCGGGGAGTGGTCGCGGAAAACCGCTGCCTGTCAGGTTTCTCCGCGGGAACCCCGTCTTTGTTTCTGTCACTACTCCTGAGGTGTTTGTGGAGGAGAAAGGCAGGCACCGAAATAGAAAGTGTCAGGGATGCGATGACAATGAGGGGCAGACTAAGGGAGCACTTTCTGAGGGTCCCAGCCAGCGCCCGGCCACCTCCTCCTGCGCGCTTCAAAGAGCCGCGCGGGCGGGCGGGAAGCGGGTGGCGCGGGCCGCGGCTCCTCTGCCGCGCGGCGATTTCCTCCCCACGCCGGGAGTTACCTCGGGAGTCGCAGCCCGGCTCTCAGGAGAGCGCGTCCTCTCCCCCACCCGGTGCTCCTCAACCCACCCACCTACTTCCTCCGGTTCCATACACGCAGCTCAGAGCTGCCAAAAATTTCCACCCTCCGCCCCCTCCTAGCTAAATTCCTCCAGCGTTTCTGAGCTGGATGAGCCTAGAATTTGTAAAAAGGAAAAAAGGGAAGGCGTGAGGGCGGGCGAGAAAGACGGGATGCTTTGTTATTTCGCTCCCACCAAAGCCGCCTGAAGGCACGACCGCATGGCCAGGGGCGGCGGACCCACAGCAGCCCCCGGGCTGTCTGCTTGCCCCGCGCCGGAGTGCCGTCCGGGCCCCCGAGGAAGGCGGACTCGAAAACTCGCCCTCCCCCGCCACGGCCGAGGAAGAGCGCCGCAAGACGCCGCAGCCCGTGAAAGTCCCCGGGACTCCCAGTGAGGAAGTGACACTCCCAAGCCGGCCGCCCGCAGCTGCCAGCCCTGCTCGGCCTCCGGCGCGGCGGCCCTGGAGGCGCGCCGCGTGGATTGCAGGCTCGGCTGGCCCGGCCCGCCCGCCGCCCCGCGGGGTCCATGCGCAGCGCTCCCGCCCCGGCTCTCGCCTTGGCCCAGGCGGCACCCCAGAGCCGCGCTGCGGCCGGTGATCGGAGCCGGGAGACCTTCTTACCGCGGTGCCAGGCAGTGGGGAGGCGAGACGGAGGGGCAGCCTCTTCGGGACTAACTCATGAAGAACAAGGGTGCCAAGCAGAAGCTGAAACGCAAGGGAGCCGCCAGCGCGTTTGGCTGTGACCTGACGGAGTATCTGGAAAGCTCGGGACAGGATGGTAATGGGCCTTCCCCTCCCTTTTCCCCTTCTTTTTGTTTGAGGGAGAGATGGATTCTCTTGGGGTGTGTTCGATTTAGTTCACAAGTTAATGTATTCCAGACCTCGCTATACCTTAAGAAAAAAAAAGAAAGAAAGATGACTCTTAAGGTGCACAGCGCTGCCACTGTGACGGGCAGGGCTGTCAGTCCTGGCGTGGGTCGCACCCCAGCCGTTAAATGGGCGGTGCTGCCCCGACTTTCAGCGGCCACCTCCGGGCTGGGGGTGGGAGCGGGGTGCCGGGAGGGATGGCCGAGGAGTGGACAGTGGGATGGTGGGCGGGGGCTGCGCGACCTCCTGGGCGCTCCGATTTCATCTGCTCACATCTTTTTATATTAATGTGCTAGAAGGCAGTGGGGTGCGGTGGGGTGCGGTGGGGGCGGGGATCCTGGCCGGGAGTGGGGGTGGGGAGTGGTTACACAAACATTTTCTGAATTTCTAAGCTGATGCCACATAGATAGTCCCCCCCCCCATCTCTTTTCCCAACCCCCAGACCTTTTAGCTCCTCTCGGCTTTCAGATTAACCTGTGATATATCAGACAAGAAGAGGGTTGTAGAAAGGTCAGAGGGCCTCCTCGAATCTGAAATAGTTGAGGATACAGAAGAGAAAAGGAGAGCATCTCTGTTTTCGAGGGCAGATTGGGAGGCAAGAAGGAATCCAGCAAAGGAGAGATAATTTAAACATTTGTTGGGCGAGGAGGAAAGAAAGCAATTCTAGCATACAAAAACAGTATTTGAGGTTAGAAGTTTTTCATCATAGGAAAGTTGGGAAAATTGAGCATTAAATGACTCCTTTTGTAAGGTTGACTGACCCTGCACTTACCCATGACAAAAAGGCCTTGTCTGCAGAAACTTCAGTTAGAGAAAAAATAGCGCACTCTTTATGAGCGGTGTGTTTATACATAGATAGATATAACAAAGGGGAAAATGTAAGGGCTGTGCAACTGTGCAGAATGATTCTGCCTCCAGGAAAATAATCCCCCAACGACCTGATTAGTCCATATCAAATAAGCATCTCAAAAACAGCGCAATACTTCTCTTTCATACACACACACACACCCTTTTTTTTCCCAAAAGACTCAGCACCACCTAGTAATTTGCAGTGGTGTGATATTCCTGTGGTATTCCAGGGTTCACAGTCAGCCATGTCATTAGGACAAATGGCTTAGTATTTTAGAGCTTGAGGAAACACAGGTTTCCAAGCTTCTCTTTTGAAATCGAGGTATAACTGAGCCAATTCACTTTATCTTCATCAACAATCTGGAGAGGTAGATTTGAAGTAGAATTGCTCAGATTAAGGTTTTTTTTTTTTTTTTTTTTTGAATGTGAAAGAACTCCCAAGTATGCGTTTTAACCACTGCTGTCAGTAGTTCAGGATGAGATATTTCCCTCCTGTTTGTGTATGGTCTTCCTGTTAACGTCCAGGTACACTAGGAATGCTTTTAGATGCCATCTTCTACCGTGTGAGTGCTATTCTGGGCCCTCCCTCCAGAGCTGGGATAGTGGCGTAAGGGTGCTTGCCAGCCCTGCCTCATTCTTACAAAGTCTTTCATCATAGGAAGAGCCAGAAGCCCAGAGTTCTGTGAACATATCTCAAAGGCACCCGTAGGCAACTGTTCTTTCACCTGCTTTATATTTTGGGTTTTGGCACATGTTTCATTTAGGGGAAAAAATGTCCCAGGGTGAGGGTGGGGTTGGGAGGGAATATACCGCTTAAAGAAAAAAATGGAAAACCGGTAGCCAGTGTTTCCCACCTTGGGGAGGAGGAAAGAAGGCTCAGAGAGGTAAATTGACCTGCCCAAAGTCTTGCAGTGAAATCATGATGAGGCCCTGGCCTGTTAGGCTCCTTTCCCCTCCCTGGCTTCCATGTCTGAGCAAACATTCCAAGTCAGAAAACTTTCAAAAATTGAACATATCTGAATAGAGCTGAGCTTTGAAACTGATCCATGTACATATCCACACACCGTTTTTGTATGACATGGAAATTAGGCACATGTAATAAGCAGCTGATATAAATGAAGAGTAATTAGGGTTTTTATTTTCCAACAACTAAAGCTGGTTAGATAGTTTTCCCTTATTTTTTTGTTGTGAAGTGTCAGTAAATAAAGCCAATGTTGGTGGTTTTTTCCAAAACAAGGTAGCCTCCCCATGGACTTTCTGAAATCCTTATTGGCTACTAGACAAGGCCCAGATTCGGCTTCTAGCAAGGAAGAGCTGAGCTGGGCATTGCCCCTTTGCAACCGCCTTGGAAATTCAGACCGGAATGCTAGGGCTGGCACGTCAGTGTGGCAACTAGAATGCAGGAGGCTGAGGACAGCTCCTCAAAAGTGACGTCATGGTCACTGCACTTTAGGGACCAAGAGCAGGGTTGATGGACCTGGGTAAAAATCAGGACAGGTGGACTCTGGTTTGGGAGCACAAAGACGGAAGGGAAGAGATGCAGAGAAACAATGAGAGCCCCTGTGCTTGTATGGAGAAGAAGAGACCCACGCTGGGGTGGAGGACAAAGCTGGTGACAGTTTGCTGTGCTCAGGCCAGCTGAACACAAGGCAGCTAAACACCTGAATGGGAACTCCGAGAGGACAGAGACTGAGCACCGAGCCTGAATGAAATCCATTTCTGTAATTTGCTGAGGTCCAGCTCTGCTACCTTCAGCTAGAAAACTGACTCTGTGGGGGTGTGTGGGTGATACGCAGGTGTTCCGCTTAAAGTGCTCAGGGCCACTTGTCATCCTCAATCTTGGGAAGTGGATGAAAAACAGAAACCTCTGCCTTTAGACAGACAGACAGACACACACACACACACACACACACACACATTGTTTATGCAATTTTGGCAGGCATCCATATACATGGCAATTTCAGACTATGCTTTGATGGTCCCCAGTTGCAAATAGGCCTGATGCGAAGGGACAGTTTCTCCCTTCTTGGACCACTGTTCCTTCAGCCCAGTAAGGACACCCAGGAATGGTATGAGGTGCTTCTTGGCAGACTTGGCTGGAGCCTTTTTCACTTCCCGGCTAATACAGTGACTCTCCCATGGGAACCAGCTAACTTTCTCTTCCTGTCTGGAATAGGGGGAGAAGATCATCCCTTCCTTACTACTGAAGCTAAAAATAGTACAGTCTTCTTGTTCTTCTTTTTGACCAATGAATATGAAGACCCTTGTAGTTGTATTATAAAATCCATGTTATGTTGTCACCAATGCCAGGAGGGGGTAGTGAAGCCCTGTGAGGCCAGAATGTACCCATGGTCATCTCCTACTTCTCCCCTATAAGCCAAATGTTCTCCTACTTCCAGTAGAACTTGGAGATGCTGGGGGCAGGAGCCAGGAACCAGTAAAAGTGCATGTGGGGAAACTATCCTCCTCCATATTGGCTCACTTTAAAAGCTAAGGATTTTCTCACCTTTCTGAGCAATCTTTACATTGCTACTCTGGTAAAAAAAAAAAAAAAATGATATTGCTCTGGCCCAGTAGCTCTCCTTCATAGTGATACATTATGATGAACTTAAAAAAAAAAAAAAAAAAGAAAAAGAAAAAACCAGAGAGGCAGAGCAATAGTGCACCAGTTAAGACAACCACTTGGGAAAGCCTTCATCTCATATTGAATGCCTGGGTTTGAATCCTGGCTCCAATTCCAATCCAGCTTCCTGCTAATTAACACTCTGGGAAGACAGCACATGATGGCTTAAGTACTTGGATCCCTGCCACCCACGTGGGAGACCCAGATGGAGCTCCTGGCTCCTGGCTTTGCCTGGCCCAGCCCTAGCTGTTGTGGGCACTGGGAGAGTAAACCAAGAGATAGATGATCTCTATTTGTGTCTCTCTGCCTTAAAAAAAAAAAAAGTCGGAATCTTTCCTGCATGATTTTGACACGTAGACAGGGTTGAGAACCACCATCCGTGATGCACAGTTTTGCAAACCATTTTCTCCTTGAATAAGCAGCTTTGATCATTCAGAATGTACCCTTTGAATGTTTATTAAGAACTGTGAGCCTTTTCATACCTGAATTTTTTTCTAGTTCTTACCAGGCTGGAAAGAGGAATTTGTGTGTGTGTGCACACGTGTGTATTTGATTTGATTTGGGAGATGGCAAGAAGGTTCACAGCAAGGATAAGACAAAGGGACTAATAGATGTCACTGTTCCACACTTCTGAGACTAAATGATTCCCTCATTTTGTTTGTTCAATTATTCAACAAATATTTATTAGGGCACTGTGCTAGGTACTGGGAGAAAGAAAGAAATGAAGATGGACTCCAAAATCAAGAAATTTACAGCCTAGGTAATGTGAACAAACCTTCAGAAACCAATGGCTCAATTAAGCTTTGAAGTTAGCTGTCATGACTGCAGGGAAAGCTGAAGGAGAAAATGAAAGCTTTGATCTCCGATTAAATAGATGAGATATTCTAACATAAACAGGAGAAAGTCTTAGCAAGGAAAGTAAATGTTTTCCTATCCAAGATAAGATTTAACACTGAATGGAGAACTGAAGGCCAGGGTATTCTCTTTGGCTTAGTGGTTTCCTTCCCAGCTTCTTGTCTGTCACATCTTTATCACACCTCCCCTGGCTAATTCTTCATCGTCTGGCTCTCAGCATTGGAAGGTTCTGTAAACCTTCCCTGATCTTTCCAAGGCAGGTGCTCCTGCTGGGGATCTCATTAGGAGTTCTGGAACTTTACTATCTGGGATAGAGTTTCAACTTTGTTTTTTTCCCAGCTGAATGCCCTTGGAGCAAAGTAATTAATTACCTTCCCTGGGCCTCAGTTTCCTCAGACATGGAATGGGGATAATAGAATTGAGGTAAAAAATAAAAAAAAAGAGTCTATATGGATAAAGAACTTAGCAGGAAGCACACACATGGTCAACTATAGGTGTACCTGTTGTCATCACAACACCCTAGACTTACTCTAGCATAACCACTGCTTGCTGAATGAGGCACCAATGAAATGGTTAAATGGGCA